AGCATAATAATCTGGGGTGGTATTATTGGAAAAAACATTAGTGGGCCCATGGAGAGTACCAGATGTCATAAAAATGACTGCTGATACATACATAGACTTTATGAAGGAGCATCTTGAACCGTGGGTGAAAAGGCAAAGAGTTGCCTTCAGAAGGGTCATTGTTTTTATGCAAGATAATGCTCCCTCACATGCTGCTCACAAGACTACTGAATATTTGAAACAGTTAGGCTTTGATGGACCTCGAAAAATGAAGTGGCCAGCAAATTCTCCGGATTTGAACCCAATCGAAAACATTTGGAGCACCATAAAGCGAAGACTGTACGCCAACGGACGACAATTCAGGAGCAACGCTGAGTTGTGGAAAGCAATTCTTGACATATCTCGCAGCATTACAGCAGATGACATCCTACAATTAACAAATTCTATGGATCGTCGATTTCAAGTAATTTCAAAACAGGGAAAGCACATTCCCTATTAATTTGTTTAAAACTGTGCCTTTGTTTGTATCTGTTATTGTTTGTTTGATTATCTTTTTTATTAGTTTCTTTTGATCATAAACATTCACATGCACCATTAATAAACGTTTTGTTTGCTCAATTCTGGGAATTTTACTAAACCTTTCTAATAATTTGGCACACTCAAATCACTGTGCTGATAACAAATATGGCGCCAGTTTGTTTACATTGTGCAAATCAGTACGAAAATTTCGGTGATTGCGCAGGTTAGTGTTACCAACATTGTGTGAAAAATATTAGAAAAAAAGTTATCTCGATAATAATTTGGCATGCAGTGTAGTTTTATAGTTGCTTCTGCTTTGCTTTGTCTTCTCTTACATTATTTTAGACCTCTTCTTCTTTTACATCTTATTGTTATTGCGAATTTTGTCAACGCTGCTTATATAACACATGACACCTTGGTTAATTCTAGGTCAGTCTGGTCAGCAGTGACCAGATGATATGACCCTTGCCAAACATTGCCTATACCAGAATATGTCTTGGTTCATAGGGTTGTAGGATGATGATTTGATTGCAGTGTCAATCCCATGCTGATTGATACTGTCAATGGTCAACAGATGTTGGTCACTGTTGTCTGCTCTGGTCCACACCATTGTGTTTCTTGATCACAGAGCTGGTAGGGATCAAGTAATATCAGCAATCATAGTGATGGTTTGAACCATGGTAACTTGTGTCATGAAGGGAAAAAAATAGGAGTGTCTTTGCAGATGAAATAAAAACAAAAAAATTCTTTGGGTTAATTTTTGACTTTGTTTATGTAGTTCTTGGTATAAGAAAAATTAACCCTGCCCACTAAAATCTCTTTAGAGACACTTTGCCTGTCAATGCTAATTCTTGGAACAGGGCCCAAATTCGAGGATTCTCTTGGCAGCAAGTCACGTGGATTTCAGTAGCACCTTTGTTCTTTGCCACTGTCTCATCTGTACTTAAGCGTTCTGCTTATATTGACTTTTACTCAAGACTGAAGTGGGGACTGATGGTGTTTGGGAATTTGGAGGTTCCCCAGGTTTCTGTATCAATTTGAACAAGAGTTCTTTGTTGTCTAGTTCGCAATATTAATTTTCACTTCAAATTTGGGAGAACCCTTCTTCCTATGGGTAGTAGTTGCAGCTATTGGTTTGCCCATATAACTCATTTCTCCTCTTACTTATGCCTTGCACTATTATTTCCAAATGGGCATAGGTAATTCATCCATCTCTCTTAGTAACTCATCTAAGCCCACCACTTTAGCTGTCTTTTTGACAAATCTGATTTTTAAACCATGTAGTCATAACTTTTAGTCATTAATTGTAATTATCTTAATTTTCAACAATGAATTTTTCTCAGCCCCTGGTCTTGTTTATGCAATTTACCAGCTGTCTCTTTTGACCTGTTAATATCAAATATTTGTTTTCATATCTTGTTTATATCTTGTTCACTTAATCATACTTATGAACCTTACAGGTTTGTTTCCAATCTCAAAAAAATCCTACAACTTGTTTTGTTTACATTTGCACTCTTTGACAGACAGGCATAAATCAGTTTCTTGATTCTGCCTTTGTCTTCAAAATGACCAAATATTATAACTCAACTGACCCTTTCTCCAGTCTGGCAACCATGAGACATGTTTTCGGAGCCTCCACTTCAAGTAAGCAGACATAAATTAGTTTCTTGATTCTGCTTTCATCTTTTCAAAATTACCAAATATTATCTCTCAAGTGACCCCTTCTTCTGTTGGCAATCATGAGACATATTTTCCTAAATCCACTTTAGTAAGTGAACATAAATCAATTTCTCCATTTCTGCTTTCATTTCCAAAATTCTCAACTGACTTTAAATGTATTTTCACTATTTCTTCTCAGCCCTTGTGGGTTTAAATCTTCCAGATGGCCATTTGATAATATCTTTTCTCAAAACCAATAAAGTCATTCTTCTCAGATCTGTCTTTTCTTCCTTCTTTCAGTTTATATATTATTCCATACTGTTAACCTCTTTTCATCTATTCCTATTCATATTCTAAATTAACCTTTTCCTTTTACTAGTGTAACATCTATATCTATGTCTGCTTCTTCAGAATGTTTCTATGGGTTATGTCTTTTAGATTTATTTATAAATATTTATTGTACACATATTTGCACAATAAAACTTGAAAATAACTGAAAACAAGTTATTATCAATATTTTTAATGAGGTTAGATATTATCAGCTGAAAATCACTGAAAATTTTACCATCATTGGTTGGTAAATACCAATTTCATTGGGGAAAGATTGACTTACATAATAAAACTAATAAAATAATAAATATTATGTATACGAAATTAGTGTCAATGTAGTTCATTGTAATAATAACACACAATTTCATTTCAATCGTACTATGTATTCAAATGATTATTTTGTCAAGCCTAAAAATAAATTAAGCAAATTAACATAAGAATTTTTCTTAATATATCAACAAATATACTGAATGTAACAATGAAAATCATTCTCTTCAACAGTTTTAATTAAGTAGAATAGAGAAGAAGAAATATAAATAAATAAAAGTAATTGAGTAACTTTCAAATATTTTTTTTTCATTTTTAATCATATCACTCCATACAAGGTAATAAAGCCACTAAGATGAAAGGGGTTACTGAGTGTAAAAGAATATGAGAAAAAGAAAAACATTATTAAGGAGAGAACAAAAAAAGAACAGGAACTAAAAAGATGACATTGCATTTAAATTTATGAAGATCAAAGTTGACTGGAAAGCAAGAAGCCAGAAAAGAGTTCTGCAAAGTGAGAAGTGTGAGAGGAGAAACTGTTATCATAGAACTTATGGTTAGCTAGTAATTTCAAGTGTAAAATGATGAGACCTAGGTGTCAATCTAGTACTGCATTTAAATTCATAAAGTCTAGGTATCAAAGAGGAAAGATCATCAGAACAATTACCATGAAAATACTTATAGAAAAGGCACAATGAAGCTATGTTACGTCAGTGGGATAGTGACTGAAGTTGAAATGCCAGGTTAGGACTGATAACATTGAAAATTCTTCTTTAGATTTTATCAAGCATATCTAAATACATAGCAGAAGCACCAGACTAGATGTGGCAGTAATATTCAATGCATGGACAATTGGTTGACTTATAAATGTGTAAGATAGATTCAAATGAAAAAAATTGTCTAAAATGACACAGTGAACTAACTTTAGTAGCAGCAGATTTAGCAAATGATTCAATATAATTGTTCCACTTCATGTCAGTGGAAAACATTAGCCCAAGAAGATGCAATGAGTCACACTCCTGGAAGTTTGCATCAGCTATGCTGATGGAAGGCAATAAAGGTTCTCTAAGATGATTTTAAAAAAAGAAGTTTCATTTGGGAGGTATTAAAATTAACAAGCCATTTCTTACCCCAGTTAACAGCAAATTGAAGATCATATTTTAGATCAAATGCCAATTTCATCTGATTGAACTGATCACATTTATGATGAAGACATGAGTAAATTTGAGAACTGATAACATTGGTTAAAGTGAAAATTAGGAACAATGTATGTCCAAGGATAGAGCCTTGAAGGACACCTGCATTAATGTAAAATGATGTGGCTATTCAAGACAAATTTCATTTAGCAACATAATAAGTTAGAGTGAATCAGATAAAAAATTTGTTCAGAAATACCATAACTTTTCAACCTTTGAAGATCAGTATGCCAAATCCTGTCAAACACCCTCAAGATATCCAAAGCAACAGCCCAAGCTTTACCATTCATATCTCTAACTTGATAAACTCTTTCAGCAGTAACTGTTAACACATCAGTAGTTGACCTAGAGAAGTAAAAGCTATATTGATGTTTTTAATGGGATGCATTGGTCAAACACAGGTCATTGGTCAAGCATGTTGAGAGTAATGAAAAGAGCCCCATAAAATTTATCCTATATGATAGAATTAAAATAATGTCAGTGGCTTTATTATTAACAAATTTACACTTTGAACAAATAAGTTATGGTTATATTTTTATTATTTTTAACAAAATCTTGTTTAAATACCATACAAGCAATGAAAGCATTTTATTAATGCATGTGATTTATAACTTATAGTAATAATATTAATTTTATAATGATAAACTGAAATATTGAAGTCAACAAGCAAAAAGAAGTTAGTATATTTTGAAATGGCATCTGCAAAAAAAAAATTCATACATCATCCATTTCTTTTGTTACTTATGATTAAATCAATTTAATCATAAAAACTGAAAAATAAGAATTTTAGAATAACTTCAGCATCAAATTGATTTCAAAATCTTCAAATAAAAACAAACTTACTCAAAATGTATTTTTTTTAATTTTTAAATTTCATTCATTCTTAAAAGCACTGCATGATTTTATTGTTAATTTATTGTATACAACACCATTTGGGAATGTGAATAAAAAATGAAAATTAGTTATTACTAAGAGAAACAATGTAGAAAATTAAAAGAAGATAATATAAGCAAAACATATAAAATTATATTTTTTATAAATCTAACTCACCCATAATCCTAACACTTATTTCTTTTGCATCTGGTTGTTTGATGATAAAATCTGTACAGGAATTGCATGGGACACATTTTTTCATTTGGGAAAGTTCTATTTGGTCTGTATTTTGCACAATATATGTGTAAGGAGAATCTGTTTGCAAGAAATAATACAAATAAAACATATTTTAGAATGATTAAAAGTGTAAATTGAATAACATTTACTAAATAGCTATTAATTTAAGCTTTGTTTACTCTACTCATTTTATTGACATATCTTCACTTCTAGTACTTGCCTAATAAGATTATTTAAAAGAATAAGAAAAAAAATTATCACTCAAAAATTGATTTGGATTATTTGCATGAAGCTCACTTACCATGAACAGGCACATTGTTGAAAGTAACATCAATCTGATGAGGGCCACTTTTTACAGGAACAAAACTCACACTATAGGTATTTTTTGATATTTTTTCAACTTTATTTTGCAGTTCACCATTGTTAATCAAAATTTTAAGGTCACCATCTCCACATTTTGAAGTATCAACTGGAATAATATAAAACAGATGGCATGGAATTTTTAAGAAAAGAATTTTAATAATTGTATAAATGTGAAAAAACTTTGCAGGCTTCTGCAGATAACAGATTACTTTTCTACATACAAGATCAAATGTGTAATGCTTACATAATTCAGTACTTAGTAATTGGTAATTGTCAGTGTCAAGGACACAGTTTTTTTCCTGAAATAAGTCTTAAAAATTTGTATAATATATAGGAATTCAGTTTACCATCTGGCATAACCTTCTAATAAGACAATAAGTTTAAACAAATTGCTGTCCTCTGGGCTTCACATAGTCCTAAGAAAACCCTAATCTTTGCACATTAAATTTTCACAAAAATAACTTGGTGCTAGCAGACAGAGTAATACCTCTTTTTATATGATAAGGTACCCAATAAAATATTATAATTTAAACGTTTTTATTCTGTATAAAATATATTCTTTAATTATTTTAATTTTACAGACAATAAGTTTAAACAAATTGCTTACACATGTAAGAAGGTTCAGCATGTAAATATATATATATATTGGCATGAATGGTTCACTAGAACATTGACTTATATACTTTTATATAGATTATAAATTCATTAGTTATTTTCTTCCTATTTAAATTATATATTCTATTATAGATTTATATATATATTCTATTCTACATCTATCTATCTATATATTAATTCTATTATATATATATATATATATTCTATTCTATATCTATCTGTATATATTAATTCTATTATATATATATATATATATATTCTATATTCATCTATATATATATTAATTCTATTATATATATATATATATATATTCTATACTCATCTATATATATATTAATTCTATTATATATATATATATATATATATATATTCTATTCTATATCTATCTGTATATATTAAATATTATATATATATATATATATATATATATTCTATACTCATCTATATATATATATTTTCTATTCTATATCTATATATATATTAATTTCATTCTATATCTATATATATATATATTAATTCTATTCTATATATATATATATATATTTTTTCTATTCTATATATATATATATTTTTTTTCTATTCTATATATATATATATATATATATTCTATTCTATATATATATATATATATATATATATATATATATATATATATATATATATATATCTATTGTATATATATATATTAATTCTATTCTCTCTCTCTATATATAATTCTATTCTCATATCTATATATATATATTATATTCTATATATATATATATATATATATATATATATATATATTTGGTTGGATAGATGTGAGTTTGTGACCCTGGGTTTCATGCTTTTAGCGATCGTCAGACAAACTGATTAATGTTTTTAAAAATTTGGGTTTATGTAGATTGCGTGTATTGGTGTTATTGTGGAAGTGGTGGGGAAATTTCGTCGTTTTGTCATTCATCGTACTAACGCAAACATCGATGTATGCAGACACATATACATACTTGGTCGTCCGTCGGGACTCATACATATATAAACATATGTGGGCAGTTTCGGCTATGACACATGTATGTATACGGGTGGTGTTATGTCTATACATACGCATTTGTGTGTTGAAATGTTGAAATTTAAACATTGGAAGTGTGGCGGAAATGTCTCGTTAATGAATGTCTCGTGAATGTATCCATGTCATATTATGTATATATTATTTTTTTTTTTTTTTTTTAAGCTGAAAAATATTTCCTCGCATGTATGTATATACGTGTGGTGGGGTTTGTGTAAAATTATGATAGGTAAAAATTATTATTATTTTATATTTATTTTTAAATTTTTGAAAAAAATGGGGTTTATTTGTTATATTTAAAGCTGGTTATTTGTTTGTTTTTGGTGACTGTGTATATGTAACAGGTAGAAATTTGTAATCCTTATTGTTTAATTTATATGGTGATGTTTAATATACTGGGGGTGAGAGGGTGGTTCAATTTAATAATGGGTCTATATGATATGATGTGATAGTAATGTTTCAAGGGATTGGAGACAATGCTATTTAGCTAATAGTTATTGTAAATTGGAAGAAATTGCAAATTGGTAGAAATGATTAGTAACGGTGGTGGGAGAATGATAAAACCATGAATGTAGTTATAGTGGTGGTAGCTTGAACTAAAAAGTGGTTGTTGGTGTTTTATTTTATTTTTGTTTTATTTTGTTATATGTATTAATTTATTTTGGTAAATCCTGATAGGTATTCTGTGTAAAATTATGGTAGTTGAAGATTGCTATAATTTTTAATTTTTAATTACAAAATTATTATTGTTATTATATTAAAGCTGCTTGGTAATAGGTGTTTGTTCTCATGGTTACATATGGAAATTATTATATCTGATCATATTGTTTTAAGGTATTAAATATGCTGGGGGAGTAATAAAGATTGTAGTGGATTATATGTTAATAGTGGGTGCGATGTGTAAGTGATGGTGCTGTGTGTTGGTGGTAATGATAATATTGATAGTTAATAGATATTATAAAGTGGTAAAAGTGATTACTAATGGTGGTGCAATTATAATAATGATAGGTGCAATTATTTTGATCGTATATTGAAATTAAATTGTGATTGTTGGTGGTTTGTCTGTTTTATCTGTTTGGTATGAATTCGGATAATAGGTACTTGTTCTCATGCCTACATTTGGAGATTATCTCTGATTTTTTGTTTAGCAAGTTCTTTTTTTATTTTTTTGTGTGATATTATTGCTACTTTTTTTTACTAGGCAAAGTAGGCATTTTTTTCGTAATGTTGTTGTAGGCAGGGGCTTTTTTTCAATATTTCCCAACTTATTGTTGGTGTGATGTTTTTTTTTTTTGCTGCCATATGTATGTAGAAAGTGTTGTGCTGTTCGAATATTTCCTGTTGTTGAATGAAAGGTTGTGATTGTTATTCCTCATCTTGAATGGACCTTCTGCAGAAACAGAACAACATGTCCACTCCAGGGAAATTGCCAAATTACGAACACAATATACAAGGCCAAGGTAAGTACAAACAACAACACTATGCACTACATCGGTGAATATACATAATATCCAACATCAAGAGCATGACTTGGAGTTTCATGCAAATGTGCAATCTTCAGGTGTGAAATACTGTAAGTTTTCTCCATCAACTAGCATCCTACAAAAGACCAACATTGTATATCAATTTAAATGTCCTTTGAGAGATTGTATCTCTGATAAAAATGTTAATACACATGTTGTTTTTGTAACAATGACGATGATGAGAACCCTTACATTTTAATTGAACGATCATAGTTCAATCTTTTAACACTTAAAGGAAGACTCATATCCATATTCACAGTTTAGACAGATATTAATTGAAAATTCATCAATGCTCCATTATGATAATAATGAGCAAAAACTTTAAATTCTGGAAGCCCTTTATATAAGAGAATTGCAGCCCAAAATAAAGTCAACTACAAATATAGCAGCAAAATTCTTAAATCAGCAAAGTGATATATAAAAAATACTAAATTAAAATACTAAAATATCTTACAAAAAAATCTTTTAAAAAAAATCACCTAAGTTACCTCCCTTGCATAGAGGTAAAAAAACATTTAGAATTTATGGTGTCAATACATAACACATCCATAGATATGCAACCTTTGAAGATGGTCTCAGATGAGATTAAAAGTACTTGGGAGAATAAAAATAAAATTTAAAAAAAAGAAAAATAAATAAAAAAAAGAAAATTTTGGAATTTTTCTCAATCATTTTTCTACAGCCACCAAGAAATTAATTCATGGACTTGAAAGGATTAAAACTAAAATAAATAGACATAATACATACAGTTGTGCATTTGTATATAAATAATAAAATGTTAGGAAATCATTTGGCCCCCATCGCCTGAAAATACCAAAAGGTAAGCGTAACTCGCTGATCTCCTAATTTAAAAAAAAATTATTCTATTATATATATATATATATATATATATATATATATATATATATATATATATTATAAAAATTGGCTATACTTTTAGCTACTATCAAGGATGAAATTTATTTTACCTTTAACTGAGTATATGGATTGTTTTATGTATGTATCTAGAGTTATAGGAATTTTTATTTTCCAAACATGGTCATTACATTCTGGCCGTATTCATAGTTGATATCATTTAGTCATTATTGCATTTTATTATTTTAACTTTTTCTTCTAAGCATAAGTTACACCTATGTCTGAAGCTGCTGGGAGTTTGTGCAGAGCCTAAAATTTTTCAAACTATTTGTGGGTTTAAATATATATATACACACACATACAGACACATATAGTTGACAATGAAATTATTCATACACCCATCAATTTTGAATATTTTTATCCATTTCTCAGAAACAAACGCCCTTATGATGCCAGGTTTTTATGTTAATAAACACAAAAAAGGAACATAAAACTCAATTTTCTGAGCAATAGGTTAAATCCCACAAATTTAATAGGCAAATTATGCAAAATAGGAAAGGACAACATTATTCGTACAGTATGAAAAATAGAAAAAATTGAACAATTTTCACAATATTAATAGCCACTAGCATAGCCTCTAATCTTTATAACTTACTGTAATCATTTTCTAAAGTTTTTGATGAGATTTGGACAAGTCTTTCTTTTCTTCCATTCTTCAATGGTTACACGTTCTAATTCCTGAATGTTTTTTGGTGACTGATGACTTATTTGAACTTTCAATTCTTGCCCACTTCTCTTTTAATTTTCCAGTAATACACTGACAGGGTTGTAGCATTTTCATTTTATTGTGTTTAAAACTTAACTTATGGTTATTGTATCTTTTTTCCATTCATTTTCAGTAGCCCCTATATATATTTTCTCTTCCTTGGCTTTATTATTATTTTCTACCTCTGTTTTTACTAAATAAACTTTTCCACTAAGCTTTCTATGGGGCAGACACTTTTTAGTCTACAATTGCATCTGGCTTTATTTTGTTTACAATCACTGTTATTGAGCAACTTTTTATAG